GGGTTAAGAAACTGCTGCAGTAATCCACTTGAGACATGGGTAATGGAGACATGAAACTCTAGAGAAGGGACCACATATATAGAGGTATTCTGGATATATTTTGAAAGACAGGACAGGATTTGCTGAAGGATTCAGTGTGTGGAGTATGGGAGGCAGAAGTCAAGGATGATTCCAAAGGTTTTGGCCTGAGCAACTGGAGAGGTGGAATTGCTGTTTACTAATTGAGATGGGGAAAACCCTAAGTTTGATGGGATGAGGTTCAAAGAATCAGGAGCTCTCTTTGGGCTTCCTTTTAGATGTTTATTATACATCTAAGTAGAAGTATGTGGGTGGGTGAGTTTAGAGATGGGGTTTGGGTAATGGAGGGGTTATGTGATGTGAGTACAGACTACAGAGTTACTTGATCTAAGGGTTGGGGAGACAGGTCAGGAGAGTTTAATTTCAGGGGTGGGGGTTTCTAGAATTTTTTGATGATAGAGAATGTGTTGTGCATGTGTGTGTGTGTGTGTGTGTAAGGTGAGGTGACAGTTATTCTGGTTTGTTTAGGTGTGTTGGGTCTTCTGTGATTGAGGGGTTGCACTGGTCTGAGTATTGAGGGCATATGAAATTGGAGATTGGAAATTAAATAACGAGAATGGGCCTGAAGATGTAGTGAGGGTTGATTTTGCTTTCAGGGACTGCTGTGTGAAGGACTGAGTATNGAGAATTACATGTGTGGGAAGACCCCCTCCTACATTATTTACACACATTGGAATCAGTCCCCGTACCTGAAGTTATACTACTATGACTGCTATGTATAATATCGTTACTGTTATACATATATGTAGGGAAGAAGTATACTATCTCATTTGGTGTCAGAGATGTTACAATGCCTTTATTTCTTCTAGTCACCCTGGCTCAGTCACCTATCTTCTCTTCATTTGTCATGTCTCTACTTGGACATTACTTCTTCTGAGAGGTGGTCCCTTACTTCTCAGTACAAAATACTCCTCCCGGGGTTTATGTATTGCCTAGCACATGGTTGAGCACAAAGGAGGTTCTCAGAGAATATTGAATGAATGAGTGTATCAGAGAAACTAAAATCAGAAAGATGGAGAATGTTGGCAGAGAAAGGGAAAGAGAGCCAAGGAGAGAAAGAGAGTGAGATGGGGGAGAGGGAGAGAGGGATAAAGAGAGCCAGGGAGAGGGAGGGATGATGAAAAATAAGAAGGAGGAAAGTATAAGGAGAGAGAGTAGGCGGGTGTGTATATGTGGGAGAATATTCCTGTTATCTAATGCTGTGTAACTAAGATCCCAAAACTTAGTAGTGTAAATCAGTGGCAATCATTTATTTTGCTTAGAGGTCAGTATTTAGGGCAGGGCTTGGAAGGAACAGCTTGTCTCTGCTCCAGCTGGGGTGGCTTGACCAACTGCCAGAGAATCTACTTCTGAGGTGGCTCATTCCCACAGCCAGCAGGTTGGTGTTGACTGCTGGCTGGGGCTGTTGGCCTGGCTAAGGGTTGGAAGCTTCGGTTCCTCTCCCAGTGTGATTTCTCCATGGACTGTTTTGACTTCTCTTAGCAGGCTGGGGTTAAGGGCAATGTCCCAAGAGATAAAAAGTGGAAGCTGCCCACTTTTTTATTTTTAAACATCTTTCCTGAGATACTCACATACAAGTTGCCCATTTGAAGTGTCCAATTCAGGTTTCAGTATATTATTAATTTTTAAAAGTTGTGGTAAAAATATATAACAAAATCCACCATTTTACCCATTTTTAAGTATGCAGTCAGTGGCATTGAGTACATTCGTGGTGTTATGTCACCACCACCATTCCCTCTTTCTTTTTCATGTGTGTGTCTGGGTTCTTTTATTTAGCAAAAAGTTTTCAAGGTGCATCCATGTGGTAGAGTCAGTCAGTGCTTCATTCTTTTTTAAAGCTGAATATTATTCCATTGTATATACCACAGTTTTGTTGATCCATTCATCAGTTGATGGACACTTGGATTGTTCCACCTTTGTGAGTAATGCTGCAGTGAAAGTTGGCATGCACATTATCTTTGAGTCCCTGCTTTCAATTTGCCTGGGTCTACACCTAGGAGTGGAATCGCTGGGTCATACAGTAATTCTATGTTTAACTTCTTCAAGAGGAGGCTGCCCATTGCTTAAGGCCCAGGCCCAAAAATCGCACCAGCATTCACTTCCCTTATATTTTATTCATCAAGCAGTCAGGGAGCTCACATTCAAGGACAAGAGACATAGATCCCTCCCTCTCAAGATCAATGAAGACTATCAAAGGATTTGTGGACATGTTTTAGACCTCCCATGGAGTGCTTGGGGGTGGTGGGAGGGCCAAGGAGGGGTCCCCAGGGAGGCAGAGTGAGACAGAGAGAATGAACTTAAACTCTGAATCTTGGCAGGTGCAGCCATCCTGTCTGCCTGGGGTTCTTCCTCTGCTTTGTTAGTCTTAACCTTTATTTACTCTGTTTATATTCTCAGAGTATCTTTTCCTGACTCCTACACTAAGTCACACTGCCATAGCGCCCTCTTCTTTTCCTTCACAGCACTTCTCAAAGTTTCTATCTATTTATATTCAAGCCTCTATTTTCCCTCTCCCACTGGACTGTAATTGCCCTTAAAGCAGGAGTATGTCCATTTTTATCATTATTGTATCCCCAGGGCCTGGCACAAAGGCCAACACAGAGTAGGCGGTGTGTTAAATATTTGTTGAGTAGTTGAATTAGTGAATAATTCTTTGGTGGATAAAGTACTGCCTGTCTTCCCTGCTAGACGGTCCCCGCAATATAGGGCAGACCTGGGTTTCTTTTGTTCACTTTATTTTCACAGCACATGATGCATAGGTAGTGTGGTAACCAGCCTCCAGGGTGGTCCCCAAATGATAGTTGCCCCCTACTTTCATTCCCTTCTATCATCCGCTCCCACAGTGAATAGAGCTGAGCAGTGTGTGACCAATGGGATGACTTCCAAGGCTGGGTCATAAAAGGCACTGCTGTTTTCAGCTTGCTCTCATGGATCGCTCGCTCTCTGGAAGCCAGCCACCATGTCAAGACATTCCAGCACCCGGGTGGATAGGCCCACGTGGACAGGAAGTGAGGTCCCCTGCCACCAGCCTGCATCAGCTTGCCAGCCTGTGAGAGAGTCACCTTAGAAAGGGATCCCCCCCACCCCATCAGATCACTACAGCCCCAGCTGACATGACTGCACCCTACTGAGACTGCCCAGCCAAACTGCTCCTGAATTTCCAACCCACATAAATGTTTAGATAATAAATGCTTATTGTCTTAAGTCCTTACAGTTTTACATAATTTATTCCATATCCATAACCGATAGAGTACGCACTGACCAAATATTTTCTTGAATGATATTATGGCCTTGAATGAGCTGCCACCCCTTTGTGAGTCCCAGAGTTGTAATCTGTAAAAGGGGATGAAATATCCAACCTCTGAGGTTCACGGACTATATATGTCACCAGGCAAGATCAGAGTAGGAGCTTAACATACTACCAGTAGGGGCCCCTCCTGATGAAGCATGAAGGCTTTGAATCCTAGCTTCACTACTTATAAGATATAAGATTTCATTCAGGCTACTAATGTTAACTGCTGGGCTTCAGACTCCTTAGCTATGAAATGGAAATTAAAGAACCCATTTAATTCTATAAGGATTAGAGAAATAATCCATGTAAAACCCACTTAAACTCCAGGAGAGGGAGCTATTTTTTCTTTTTCACTGCTTTGTCTCTAGCAGAGAACAATGGTTGACACATAGCAAGTGCTCAATAAGTATTTGCTGAATGACTATTAAAAAGGTACTTTGCCTAAGGAAAATACATATTTACTATTGAGACAGGGACCAGGGGCTTAGACAGAGTAGGGAGAGGGTCTCTGGAAAAAGCAAGGCAAGATATTTACAGTCAAAGCAATGTAACAATGGAAACTCTGTGTTCAGCATTATGCAAAGTCAAGGTCAAACTAATTCTCTAAAGATACCAGACTAGGAATATAGACATCTTCAGTGAGATCAATTAAAGGTCAGAAGGCCAGGAGAAACTTGGCCTGGCCTGAGATGTTTGAGTGTTCTGCAAGGGTATCTCAGCATAACCTGCGACTTCACTGTAAACAGCCCTAGCAAACAGACAACAACCCAGCCACCTGGAGGGCAGGGCAGGTGGTACAAGTCCACACCTTAAGCCCTTAATTCTCCAAAATCCTCAACTGCCTATAAATCTCCTAGACAATGCACCACCCCAGACTCTCTTGTCCCTCAGGAGCTTTTTCCTCTCACTTTATCTCTAAATAAAAGCCTGTACCTTGTTCTCCTACCTTGAGTGTTTGTAAAGCTCATTCTTCGGCTTTGTGAACAAGAACCCCGGCATCACTATTACTAACCTACAAGGCCCTACATGATTCCCCACCTGCTTCATCTGTGATTTTATTCTCTTACCACTTGTCATCTCTCACTCTGCTCCAGCCACCCTCCCCTCTCCACAGTTTCTCAGCGAATCCAGCATACTCCAGCTTCAGGGCCTTTGCATGAGCTGTTCCCACTGACCAGAAGTGCTCCATATCCCACTTATTGTTTCTTCAGTTCCTTCAGGTCTCTGCTCAATGTCGCCTTCTCTGAGAGGCCTTCCCTGTCTTCTCCTGTCACCCTATAAAATCCCATAGCCTGCCTTATTTTTCTCCAAAGCATTTATCAGTCTGATATTTATTTTTCTTTGGGCTCTCCTCAATAGAATGTAAGCTTTATGAGGGCAGAGCTTTGTCTTATTCTCCACTCTATTACACAACACCCCGACATCGGATGTCAGCAAGCTCTCCGTAAATATTTGCTGAATTAATAGCGTCTTATACGACCACTTAGGTATCCTCGTAGGGCCATAAACTACGCCATTTTTGGGCCACAATTGGTTGGAGCCTCGACCACGTGACTGCCGATCGCTGGCCTGCCTTTGAGGCTCGGGGGTCCACGTGGTCCCCGGCTCTGGGGGCTGTCCGGGCCGCGGAGGAGGTACTGCGCAGGCGCGGGGCCTGGCGCAGGCGCAGACTCCGCCGGCGGCGGTTGGCGGCGCGTGGGGCCGGCGGGCGGCTGCGGTGAGAACCTGAACGCAGGCAGGGAGAGCTGCCGCCATGGTGGAGAAGGAGGAAGCTGGCGGCGGCATCAGCGAGGAGGAGGCCGCGCAGTATGACCGGCAGATTCGTCTCTGGGGACTGGAGGCCCAGAAACGGTCAGGGCCGGTGCGGCTTGTGGGGCTGAGGGTCTGAAGGGGGCGTCTGGCCTGAGGCCTTCGCGGCCCTCAGGGAACTGGTGGTTCTGATTTGAAGAGAGGAGGCGGGAATTACGCTCCCAGGGATGGTAGCTCTCCCTAGAGTACTGGAGGGGTTGATTTGGGATATTTCTGGAAGGTATGGGAAGCGGGGACGTCCCAGGGTGGTGGGAGGGCCGTTCTCAGCGATTGGAGGCCTCCGGAAGAGGAGGTGGGGGAGTCCTGAGGAATCGAGGTGATTCTAACTCAGGGCTTCTTCGGTCGCTTGAAGGAGGGGATGGTGAGATTTTGGTCGCGGGTGGGGGCTTAGGGAATAGGAGGGGCCAGGGATGCCTGGAAACGGTGAAGTGGGGTGCATAGTTCATTCATTCATAAAGTGGGCACCTGTGCTCTGCCGGACGCTGGGGAGACTGGCTAACCGAACAGATACGAGCTTCATTCTTGTGGCTTCCAAGGAGTGAGTGTGCCAGTCTGAAAGAATGAGGGTTTTTGAGGTGTTTTTGAGCAGGTTATTTCAAGTAGGAGTCTTGAGAGGCTCGGAAAGACTGGGAGGCGGGGGATGGTGTGGGGGTGGGGTGGGACATACCGGAAGTGGTATCTTATGTCTAGGTGTGGGGGTGTGTCCAGAGAGGACCCTACACTAAGGTTGAGCATACCTTGGGTATTGAGTAGTTACTGGAGAGTATGAGGTCTTTGAGAGAAGTAAATAATTTGATCAAATATTTATTGAGCACTGTTCCAGGCACTGAGCGTCCATCAGTGAACTAGACTGGCTCCTTGCCCACATGGAGCTTGCATTGCTGGTGGGGGGAGACAATAAACGTAAATGATATAACGGTAAGTAATGCAAGTGCTAGGGAGAAAAATAAGGCTGGATAAGAGGGTCAGTAAAGGATGGTGAGGTGAGAGCCAGGGAAGGCCTCTGAAGAGGTAACACTGAGCTTCTGTCCTGTGTGAAGGGAAGGGGCCATGTGGCCATAACACAGACAACAGCATGTGTACAATCCTGGAGACCAGAGCGTGATTGGCAAATTAGAGAAACCGGTTGGCTGGAACCAAATGAGTTGAGGAGTAGCTTTTTTATTCTAGGTGTTCTGGGAAACTCACTGGAGAGTTTCCAGTATAGGAGTATCTGATTTGTGTTTTGAAAGGATCACATAACCCCTCCATAACCCAGTGTATGAATTGGTGAATACATTGCTGTGTGAATAGTTTGAAGTGGGCAGAAGTGGAAATAAGGGTTCGGGTTAAGAAACTGCTGCAGTAATCCACTTGAGACATGGGTAATGGAGACATGAAACTCTAGAGAAGGGACCACATATATAGAGGTATTCTGGATATATTTTGAAAGACAGGACAGGATTTGCTGAAGGATTCAGTGTGTGGAGTATGGGAGGCAGAAGTCAAGGATGATTCCAAAGGTTTTGGCCTGAGCAACTGGAGAGGTGGAATTGCTGTTTACTAATTGAGATGGGGAAAACCCTAAGTTTGATGGGATGAGGTTCAAAGAATCAGGAGCTCTCTTTGGGCTTCCTTTTAGATGTTTATTATACATCTAAGTAGAAGTATGTGGGTGGGTGAGTTTAGAGATGGGGTTTGGGTAATGGAGGGGTTATGTGATGTGAGTACAGACTACAGAGTTACTTGATCTAAGGGTTGGGGAGACAGGTCAGGAGAGTTTAATTTCAGGGGTGGGGGTTTCTAGAATTTTTTGATGATAGAGAATGTGTTGTGCATGTGTGTGTGTGTGTGTGTGTAAGGTGAGGTGACAGTTATTCTGGTTTGTTTAGGTGTGTTGGGTCTTCTGTGATTGAGGGGTTGCACTGGTCTGAGTATTGAGGGCATATGAAATTGGAGATTGGAAATTAAATAACGAGAATGGGCCTGAAGATGTAGTGAGGGTTGATTTTGCTTTCAGGGACTGCTGTGTGAAGGACTGAGTATTAGGAGGTCCTAAAGGGTTGGGAAGGGGATTCTAAGTGTACTAGAAGGGTTGATCCAAGCTCTGGGGGCAGCAGCTAGTTCTGTTTGAGGTGGGGTGAAGATGGTGAGGGTTCTGCTGGAATGTAGTGAGGGGACTGTCAGATGGGCGGGGAGGATTCCTCTGAGGAACAGTACAGAATGAGTGGGGGCTTCTGAGGAGGAGATGACCCAAGGCGCAAATCAAAGTCAGGGTATAGGATTCTTGTGGTGTGGGTTACTGAGGGAGTGGAGACATACTGAACTCGGTGGAGAACCTGAGAAGGATTATTTGAGGGTCCTAGGAGGGAAGGAAGGGGCTATCTAAAATGGGCAATCTGTTTATTTATAGACAGTCCTATGGAGTTTATTGAAGTTCTCTCATGTTCATTTTCAACTGAGTCTCATAACAGCTTCTGGAGTAGGAAGGGCAGTGAGTTCCTCCACTGTACAGACAGAAAGGAGGCTCCACAAAGCAAACTGACTTGCCTCTGAGGGAACTTGCAGGTGAGCTAGGAGAACTCGGCTCTGTGGTTCCTTTGTAAAGTGGAAGGCAGCCTGAGAATCAGCAGGCTGCATTCCGGCTACAGATTTTGCTGCTGTGATGTTGGACAAGGTAGTCAAAACTGGAAAGGGCAGTAGGGGCTTCAAGAACACCAAGTACAGTCTAGAGTCTAGAGGCCGGGTTATATCTGATACAGTGTTTCAGATTTTTGAAGTTATTTGCCAGCATTTAAAAACTTAGAGAATTGGCCAAATTGGAGACAATATGAGTATCAGAAAGAACAAAATCAACTTCATTTAAAAATAACTTAGAATCCATAAGGCCAAGTTAATATTCAAACAACAGATCACTTCTTTGGAAGTGATTATTAATAATGTGCCATCTGATTTGGTGAAACAAAACGTAATACATCATCATTTAGGTTTTTTTTGCTGGTTATCTTTTACCCTCATCAAGTGTTTAGAGAACAGAGGAACAAATTAGAGAACGCCATTGAGGTAATGATAAGGTGTCCAGAATGTGGGACATTTTTCAAGACAACTGTCCTGGAAAATGTCATGGAAAAACAAGTGAAGGGACGGTTCTAGATTAAAAGAGAGGAAAGGGGTGGAGCTAAATGCAAGGTGTGAACCCTGACTTGATCCTTGTTCAAAAAGAAGATTTCCATAAAAACCTCTTTTAGACGAGGGAAAATTTGAGTGTCCAATCCTATAAGGATATTTGAGAATCATTTCCTAGCTGTGATAATAGTATGTTTATGGAGGAGAATGTCATGTTTTTGGAGGTATGTGCTAAAGGTGTGAAATACTGTGATGTATTGTAGGTATATGGGTGCAGTAGGTATATGTAGGTATTGTAGGTATATGTAGGCAGCTGGGCATGTTTTCAGAATGTGTGCTTCTGCAGCTTTTGCACTGCCTTTCACAGCCAAAGGCATGGCTAATTTTTCTTTCACTCAACAGTAAGTTATCCCATATCTAGGAGTGAGGAAAGGGAATAACTAGAGAGTGAATTAGATGATAAGCTCAGTGAGGGCAAGCCCTTTATAAATGTCCATTAGTTAAGATACAGGTTTTGACGAGTCTCTATTAAATTTCCAGTCTTGGCAAGTTTGTAGACATGCAGGTATTTGTTGAGTGAATGAAATGAACATAACACTGTAAAAAGCAAGGAGGTCAGGTAACCTGGGTTCAGTTACCACCTCTGCTAACTAGCTCTGACTATGGGTCAGTCACACAGTTTCTTGGCCTGAAATTCCATATCTGCAAAAAAGGAGGGGTGAGTGTGATTAAATCTTTAATAAAACTCTTTGGACTCTGAAATTCTGATTTTACAAAAAAGAGACTGCAGAACTTCCCTATTTTCAAACACTCATTCCCCAACACTGCTGCTGTTCCAAAGAACTTAATTTGTCTCCATAGGCACATACTTGCCATAAAAGTGACTGAGCACATGGGCTCTGTCCCAGAAGCCAATCCTGATTGTTTCATTTCCTGATTGTTCATAGAAGGACAGATCTATTGTAGTGTTGATAGTGGTTAATAGTAGAGTTTGAATCTCAGCTCCAAAACAAGTTATTTAACATTGGAGACATTTCTTAACTTCTCTGTGCTTTGGTTTTCTCATTTGTCAAACAGAGATAATAGAATCTACTTTATGAGCTTGTTGGGAACTAAATGAGCTAATGCATGAATATGAATAGTGTGTATGCACAGAAAGCATTCACTGAATTATAGTTATTTAGCAAGTATACATCACCAGCATTAAAAGAAGGGGAGCTACATAGGAAATACTGTGTGATAAATAAGGCAATAAATGTAGATTAGGAGTCCGTGGGAAGAGTGGAGACTCCAGAAGGATGAGGAACATTGTAGAAGGAGCAGATATGCATAGGCAGATGACAGTGGGGAGCAGTCTTAAGTTCTGTTTTGGATTCTGACAAGACATTTATTTATTTTATTTATTTATTAAGGTATCACTCATATACACTCTTATGAAGGTTTCTCATGAAAAACATTGTGGTTACTACATTCACCCATATTATCAAGTCCACCCCATACCCTGTTGAAATCACTGTCTGACAAGACATTTAAATAAATACAATGAGTGGGCAGTTGGATGCAGCAGGATTGTAGATTTAAATGAAAAATGCTGTACTGTCAAGTGAAGAAGAGAGTATTTCTAGGAGAAAACGATCAAATATGCCAAATGCTGATGGTTTATTCGGTTGCACAGCCCAGAAACATAAGCGTTCTTTATTCATCTTTGTCCCTTATGCCTGCATCCGATCTATTGGCAAGTCTTACCAGCTCTACTTCAAGCTTTGTCTCATCCTCCTCTCTTCATTTAGTTCAAGCCACACCCAGCATCTCTGATCACCTCACCCCAACAGTCTCCTCACTGCTCCCCCATTCAACTCTTGACTCTATAAAGCAGATCACAACAGTCCTGCTTAAAGCATCCCATTGACTTCCTGTTATACTCAGAATAAAATCCG